CCCCAAAACCCCAAAACCCCACTAAGTAGAATATTAAGTTAAATAGATTTGAGAATGATATTAAATTTGAATTATCACAAGGAAAAGGGTGAATTTATAAATTTTTAAATTAAACTAATATATAAGTGATATAATGGTAGAAAATTCAAGTGAGGAATTCGAGCTAATAATACCTCTAGTTTAAATGAATGAAAACTATGGGTAACTGGAGGTTTCTTCTTAAGCTATGATGTTTTTAGAATCTATACCTTGAAATAAAAAGCTAACAGTTGTGATAATTGTTGGCCAAGACATGCAGGTGAAATAGTAACTTGCTTAATAGATTTTAACATTACCAAAAACTATAAATCAAGGAGAAATCTCTGAAGATTGGGGACTAATATGGCTTTACACCAAAACTATAGATGTCCATCATGATCATATATTAATGGTCATTAATACAAAAGATTTAACCTTTGAACCAACACTCAAAGGTATAGATTAGTTGATTGTCATATTAGCATCAATTTTATCCTCTGTTCTTATCTTTAATTAGGCTGCTTTAATGGATGAGTAAAGCTTGCAGCAAACTAGTTTATTTATGGGAATCTCATCATTTATAGATTATCTCAATAATATATCCAATCATCCAGCATTGGTTTGGATAAATAAAGGTCTAAATAACACAACTGATAATGATTAGGAAAGCATCTAAGACGAAGAAAGTTTTATCTATAAATTATCTAAATAAGAAGAATAAAGTCCAATCAAAACTTTGACATAATTTTTGATTAAGAACTTTTTGTAACGAACATTTCTTTAACCCTCCGATCTTTAGCCTTCAAATAATGAATAGTCTTTGAAAAATTTAAGAAAGCTATTAACAGCCCTAAAAAAAGTTAAGATAATTGAGAATTGAGATATAAATTCTCGAATGTTTCTAAGCTTAGCATTAGATTTAATAGATCACATTAATGCCAGAGAAAAGGTCTAGACAGTATAGCTTCTTGAGAAAGTTACACATTCAGAATCAATGAGAATACTTGATGATGCTTATGAAATGTTTTAATAATAATTAAATGAATAGATCAATGAAGAAACTATGCCTTTAAGCAGACAAGATTTTAACAAGATTATAAGGAGAACTCGGAAAAATATTATGGTTTATCTTGAAGTATAGCTTCTCAGTTTTCTTAAATTTGAAGAGATTATAATGACCAAGCATACCTTAAATCATCGTATAAAGGATCCAATATAGAATAAAATTTAATAAAATTATACAGCCAGCTACTAGTATGCATAAGGATTACTAGTAAAACTATATCAAACAGTTGATAATCCTTTTAGTTAGACCAAACTAGAGGAGATATTATCGCATGATTATTTCAGATAATGGCATTCAATTATTCAAGAATATAAAGAATTTGGAAAGTATTATGTGTAATGGGAGTCATTTGCAGACAGTTTGGTAAAATTACATGAAAATAACTAAACTTTGTTCATTCAAAGAGAAATGATAGATTTTTCTCGACTAAACACAACAAATATGACGAATGAATCATAGAATATGTCGATTGGAGATGAGGATGACTATTTAAGTTATTTATCGAATCAATATGAAAAACTTAATAAGTAAAATGAGAAATTGTAACAGTAAAGCTAGAATTAAAATGCGATGAGTTGTCTTGAAAAAGCTATTGATAAATACTCTGATCTTAATTAAGAACATCTAAATGAACTGCAAATCTAACTTAAATAAAGATCTTAAACGGAGAGGTCATTAGCTACCTAGAAAAAATGTAACGACTAGTTGATAGATTATCAAAGAAACTAAAATGAGGACATGGTCAAATTAAAACATGAGAATGAAATGAAATTAGAATAACTGATGAGGGATCTAGTTAATAAGAATTTAGAACTTGAAAATGCGAAGTAAATTAAGGATACAGAAGTGAGAAATTAGAAAGTAAATCGAGAAAATTATGACTAGCAACTATAAGGAGAAATAAATATGCTAGAATACTAAAAATTTGAAATGCTAAAACTACATAATGAAACTAAAATGCAGGTTCAAGATCTTGAAAATGAAAAAATAAAGGAAATTTCCTCAGTTCAGATAGAAATCAAGAAGCTAGAAGATGAAATTGAGGAACTCAAAGCCAAGATGTAGAATAAAGAAAATAATCCATACTTTATTTAAGTAAATGAGTTCTATAATGAAGTTCAAGAATATATGGGAGATTATAGGAAGATTTATGAGAAAGTTGAAATAACAAAAGAATTGAAAATACAGATTTATTAACTTTAAAGAAAACTCAATGATGTTGAGTACAGCTATAATTAAAATGAAATTATCCAAAAGAAACAGCTGGATGACTCATACAGACTAATTTATTAAGAATAATAAATTGAGATAAATAACTTAAACTATGAGGTTGAAAGTTTAAAGCAAAAGTAAAATCAAATGCTAGAGAAGAGATAGTCTTTTGAATTACAACTTGGCTAAGTTATCACCTCAATTGGTGAGTCAAAAGAAAGATATATGATTACTTAGGAAAATTTTGAGAAGCATTAGTTTCACAACATGAAAAAATAAAAGCAGCTTTAATAGATGAAAGCTGATACGGAAACTTCTGTGGTCGTTTAGGCCCAGATAGCAAATAAAATCTGCGCAATAACTATAGAAAATAAAACTAAATAAGATGATAAGGAGATAATGATGATTCTTTTGCAGCATATCTACAATGCTATATAGGGGAAAAAGCATAATATAAAGGGGCTTTTAAGCTAATTAGAAATCGAATAGAATAAAAGTAAGGTAGTTAGAATGCTGCAATAATACAAAATACCTTTCAAATGATAATTAATTTAATATTTATTCTCAATATCAAATATGAACATTAATTTTCGGGGTTTTGGGGTTTTGGGGTTTTGGGG